CATCCCCAGAAGGTCTGGTCTCCACCAGCTCCATGTCCTGAGTCTGTTCTTCCTCCTCCCTCTGCCAGGTCATGGTGATGTCAGCAGGGTAGAAGCCCAGGGCCCAGCACCTCAGGGTGACATCACCTTTAGGTCCAGGATGATGGGTCACATGTACCCTTGGGGGATCTGTGTGGAAGATTTAAGAAACCGCACAATAACAAGATAAACTGAAATCTGCAAATACAAAGTTAAATCAGTGATGACACTTAATTATGTGTCTGAACACTTCTGACTGTCATCACATTAGTGACCTGCAGGTGGCGGTGGTCCCCTCATCACGGATATGCACATTTCCAGGGGGACCCAGAAGCTAAGAGGGAATCTCATGAACCAGCAGGTCACACGGTCTTCCCTATGTGATGTTCTATAGCATAAGTTAGGTGGTAAAAGTATTGAAGAAGGAATGAAAAATAATTAATTTATATACATTATTAAATTCATATCAAAATAAGAAATTAGGGGCACAGGCTACAAAACAGTGCCACCAGTTACTGCTGCTACAGTTGAGGGACAACCACTGTGGCCATCTTGCTAACCAGTATAACTGTCTGTCCAAGAGAACAGCCATCACCAAAGTGTGCAGTAGAACCTCTGACACTCAGGCAGAGAAAATGACTCCCCAAACCCTGCCTCTAGGGAGGACAAGATACAAGGTGTTGTCACCCAGGATCTCTGGAAGTGTGCTGTGGATCCCAGTGCAGCACTCACTGGGACACAGCAGTGCTCACAGGGGTGTGTGGATTTTCCCTGTCCTTCCAGTCCTTGAATTCTAGAAGACCCTGTCTTTGAGGAAGTTAAACTCCTAATTCACTAGGGCAACAGTGTAACTCCTGGGCCTGAGGGAGAGCAGGGGGCTCTGGATGGTTAATTCTGGCAGAAAATAGTCTAAGGTCATGGGACTCTTTCGTTTAAAGCAAACACTGACTTAACTTATGTAATTATCCAGAGCATCAGTCCCCCATGGCACCTGTGGAGACTGACACCCATGATAGTACAAGGGGAGGGAAAGAAGCAGTATCACCATAACGAGGAAAAAAAAAAAACTGACTAAAAGTAAAATGGCAACTTCAAAAAAGAAAAGAAAAAGAGCCTCCCCCCAAAACACGCAATTTGGAATCCTCCCAGAGCACCCCTTAAATGCTGCTGTGACCATTCTAGGAAGAGATTGAAATTGCGGTGTGTGAGGGATGCAAACCTCACCCACAGGAATCTGGGATAATGTATTTTTTGGAAAGTTCTAGAAACTGGGGAAGCAGCCTAGAGTCGGGGCATCCATGTCTCCATCAGGTAAAGGAGACTTTCTGTCCTAGACTCAGACACTGGGTGTGGGCAGAGAACCCGGCCTGGCAGAGGCCATGGCTGACAGAGGGCTGCAGACTGAGGAGCCACTGCTGGGGATGTGGGCATCTTCTCTCCCGCCCTCCTGAGACAGATCTGGAACCGTCCAGGGAGAAGGCTGAGCCCTGGGAGATCAGCGCAGCCCCTGCCAGGCTGGATCAGGAGCCCCAGGGTCACTGTGTCCCCTCAGAGACAGGGGCATGACCCCAGCTGAGGGTCTCTTCTTCCTCAGGACTGAGCCCAGCCCGAGGGCAGAGGGAGGAGATGCCCGGGGCCCCTGCACCTGTGCGCAGCAGCTGGTCCTTCCCATTCTCCAGGTATCTGCGGAGCCACTCCAAGCACGTGCCCTCCACGTAGGCCTTTTCATTCTCTGCAAAACCAGTCTGCTCCCACTTGCGTCGGGTGATCTGCGCCGCCCTGTCCGCCGGTGTCCACGTCCTCAGGTCCTCGTTCAGGGCGATGTAATCGCGGCCATCATAGGCGTCCTGACGGTACCCGCGGAGGAGGCGCCCGTCCGACCCCATGTCACAGCCATACATCACCTGGATGGAGTGAGAGCCTGGGGGTGGGGGGAACCACCGGGTCAGTCCCACTCAGCTGTCCAGCCCTGGGGACATCGGCCCAGCGCCCCCGCTCACTCGTGGATCCTCTAAACTGAAAGGGAAACCAGATTCCGGTTCCAGCTCTCCTCCTCCCGGACCTCAGACCTGGGACCCGGGGCGACTTTGGACCGTACATATGTTCGTGGAAGGCTGTGACCTCCGACCCAGGGTCACTCACCGCCCTCACTCTGGTTGTAGTAGTCGAGCAGGGTCCTTAGATTCCCTCGGTAAATCTGCTCGCTGATTTTGACAAACCGTGTCTGCCTCTCCCAATGCTCAAGTCCCTCCCGCTTCGCCCACGTGGTCAGCGGCTCATATCTCAGACTCTCCGCGTCGCTGTCGAAGCGCACGAACTGCGTGTCGTCCACGTAGCCGACGGCGATGAACCGGGGCTCCCCAAGGCCGGGCCGGGACACAATGGTGCGGAAATACAGCAGGGAGTGCGAGCCTGGGGGCGGCGAGCAGTGAGACCCCGACCCTTCTCCAGGACCGCGGGTGGGTGCGCGGGCCGGGAGGGGAGCAGGGCGCGGGGCTCGGGACGCGGGTGTGGAAGGGGCGGGAAGGTCTGGCTGGGCTTTGCGGGACGCGCTTCCCTGGTGTCGGCCCCGCCCTCTCCGCAGAGGCCGTTTCCCTCCAGACCCTGCTCTCACCTGCGCGGGTTTGGGTCAGGGCCTGGGAGGCCACCAGCAGCAGGAGGTCCCAGAGCAGAGGGCTCCCCATCTTCAGGGTTAGGGGGAGACAAAACACAGCCTTGAATGGTCGTGGACTTTGTAAATTTGTCTTGACAGACTTCTCTCCTGTTTCTAGGAACCCATGGTTCTCATGGTTGAGGTTGTTGTCTCTCTGGGAGCCAACCTGACAGCCACTGACAGACCAGGAAGTGAAACCAAAAGCCTACACTTCCCAATCAAAACCCCATCTTCAGCTCTTAGATCCTGAAACCAATTCTTAGGACTTGGGACTTTGTCCTGAGTCCTTCCACCTGGCATTATTCCTGTGTATGACACCGTCTCCTTGAACCCCTTCCCAGAGTCTGTCTGATGGTAATCCCAGGGAAACTATCTGCATGAACACAGCTGTTTTGCTATTTTCTATCCCAACTCCCAAATCTCCTGATGACCCCGAGCTGGTCAGCAATGCAGTGGAGAGATGGTTTCTCTTGAAAGCAGAGGCTTTGGCCTGCAAGCACCACACAGACTCCCACAGAGACCGGGATCCTGTGATCCCCTGCAGTGGGAGCTGACACTGCCAAACCTGACTGGTTAGGAATCTGAGTTCTCCATATGTGAAAGAATGGGTTAAACAGCCATGTGCTAGACCCAGAGTTTCCTAGTGTTTCTTCCCAGGTGATGCCTCCCTGGCCCCAGTTGTGTTTTAGGATGATCTTTGTGTGTGTGAAGCCAGAGCATAGCTTCAACACTGCTGTCCCCTTTCCCTGAAGCGCTTGGATAAAGCCCAGCACTGAAGGCTGCCCACATTCCACGAGTTACTGTACAGACACTCCTATGATCTGATTCAGTTAAGAAATCGGGATCATTAAAAAGTGAACAATTTCACAAAGCAGGTTCTTCCCACCCACAACTGACTGACCTGCGCTCACACTTGCGGTGATGAGATGACACATGAGTTGATGAGAGGAGGAAGATGGATGGTGCCTGGTGGGGACAGTGGCTCTGAAAACTGAGTGGGTCCTGAGTACCTCAGCCCTGTGCAGTGTGGACAGGGGAGGACACTGGGCAGAGGACGACTCTTATGCCAGGTGGCATAGACTGGCAGGACAGAGATGTCATTAGACAGAAAGGTCACAATCTATAATGTAATGTCACTTTTATATGTCATGTGTGACTTGTTATTTTCAGACTTCAGTTAAACCAAGATCACTAAAACGGTGGAAAGTGGCCTCAGAGAGCCAGATCTTATCCAGGACACAGCCTTCTTGGATTCACAGTCACAATGACCAGAATCCTGACCCATCTTCCTGAAGTCACTCCATGCTGTCACTTTGAACCACTATGACTTTCACTGCTTTCCTCCTATTTCTGTCCCCAGCTCCTGCCTTCTGCAGAGGCCATGATCTCAAACCACACAGCTCAGCCCTTGAGGATGATGCTGACTCTTCCTGCCCCAACTCCTGCCATGCAGGCTGCACTTTCTCAGCCACTGCACTTAGGCCCCAAGTTAACAATTTCCTCCATACATAGTTTTTCTTCTTCTTTTTTTAAAGATTTTTATTTATTTTTTATGTTTACAACATTCTGCTTCCATGTACATCTGCACACCAGAAGAGGGCACCAGATGGCTCTGAGCCACCATGTGGTTGCTGGGAATTGAACTCAGGACCTCTGGAAGAGCAGTTGGTGCTCTTAACTGCTGAGCCATCTCTCCAGCCCCCCCCCCCAGTTTTTCTTCTTAATTGTTGTTTTTATTTATGTATTTACTCATTTATTTTTGAGGTATTGTCTCCCTGGATAGTCTTATCTGACCTGGAACTCTCCATGGAGACTAAGCTGGCCTGGAAACTGTTTGCTAGTGCCTCCCAAGGGCTGGTATTAAAAGCATGCACCACCATACCTATTTCCAAACACATTTTCTGTGGAAACTTCTCTGGGTGGACTTGTGCCTTCCTACATTCTCCTGGCTACATGCACACAAATGTCCTTTCTTCATGTCTTCCTGCCAGTGGAGAGCACAGTCTTGCCAAAGGTAGGCTTTTGGAACCAACCCCTATGTTGTATGAGGCCACAGGAAAGTCCACTCTGGTGGCACTTTCATCATGCCAGCCCACACTCCTATAAGATAAAATGGACCCGCCTCTGACAGTCTGATTCTAGGGCCACATACAGTGCCCCAGGCAAGTGCCCTTGTCATGTCTGAAAAATCTCTAATAAAAAGTGTTCATTCAATCCATCAGAATACTTCCTAGTCCTGCCCCTCCTGTCTCTTTAAGAAGAATCTGGCTCCTCTCGACCAGCTCTTCACAGTCCTCTCTCCAACCACCAACAGCTGTCCTAACAG